GGGAACCAGTCTGTATGTGGGATCCGAACCCTCGGCGGGAGCTCTGCCGCGCTTCCCAAGCGACGCACTATAGCAGTGCGCCACCGGGCCGGCCCAGGAGTCCTACCCTGAATCAACTTCCTTTGGCCAGGTGGCATCCTATGGCCTCTGGGCTCTCTCATGATCTGACCAGGCCTACTTTTCCAGTCTCACTTCATGCCATGCTGTCCCCCACCACCCCATTCACTGTGCACCACAGTCACACCGGCTGCCTTTCACTGCCTCCCCATGGGCTGCTCTTGGCCTCTGCCCATGCTGTTGCAATATCTAGATTACTCTTCCCAAGTAGCTGGCTCCTGATCCTCCCGTAGACCTCAACTCCAAGCACGACCTCCTCAGGGAAGCCTTCCTGACACTGGCCGGGGCGAAGGTGCCCTGTTTTATGTTCTCAAAGCTCCCAGTTCTAAATCAGTGATTTGTGTGCTATGATTAGCATCTGCCCCTGCCCTGGACCACAAGCACCTTCAGCACAGAGTCCATCTTATTTTGTTGTGACGTGGGTCCCTGGCTTGCACAGACGCTCCAATAATATTAACAGATACACGAACCAATGTTTGTTCAGTGTCCTGGGAACCAAGGAAGAAAATTCCAAGAAGAGGGGGTGGACAACAGGGTCACATGTTCCCAAGATGGTGACAAGGTGAAGGACTAGAAGGAGTTCCCAGGGGACATGGCCCCAGCAGGTGGCCTGGGCAAGAGCGAGGTGGTGAGCAGGTGGAGGTAAAGAGTTAACAGAAGGGGCAGATAAGAAGTGGAGGCAGTGGGCGTGAGTCACAGGGAAGAGTTAGGGGCCTGAGGAAGGACAGATACAGATGGAGGCAGGAGGATCTGTTTTCCCCTTTTAAATACAGGTGAATTCTGAGGTTGCTAGAGAAAGAAAATGTCCAATATAGGAGAATGTTTCAGATCAACTGTTCTATTTAATTTTAACGGCCGCTAAGGTTTAAAGCCCGTCTCCACTACAGCTGCATGACCCTGGTAGTCATTTAACTTCTTCAATCAGTTTTCTTACTGGTAAAATTGGGCAATACCTTTATGAAAAACACCTAGTACACATTAAGGGCCCCCTAAATGGTAGTTTCCTTCCCATTTTCCCATCTTTGCCCATTAGCAGAACTGCTCTGTACGGCTGGGCAGTCTGTACACAGCACAACTCCAGGGGGCATCATTCACATAGACTAAGCCCTGCTGCTTGGGAAATCTGAGTTGCTTCTTCACCACCACCATCATCACTAGGTGGGCCGGGCGAAGAGGGGAGACTACAGTCAGAGACACTACTTAGCATCTGTTCTTATCAAGGAGGCCAACGGCTGGCCACTCAGATAGTTCAGGGCAGACTAGCAGGCCAGTGGGTGACTGGGCTCCCTCGGCCAGGAGAGGGGCTGTGGACTCCCAGGAAGGTAGTGTGACTCCATGTTATACAAACAGAGCCTTTTTAAAGCCCTGGCCTAATAAATTGTGCAGTTAGCAACTAGCGCTGCTCTGACCACCTGTGTGTGCTGGCCCAGGGCCCCGCTCTGGGAGCAGACAGGACTGTGGAGCTCCTGGTTAGAGGTCACCAGAGCAGAGGCTGGCTGGCAGGTGGGGGCCAAGGAAGGGACAAATCAGATCCCAGGAGACTCTAGGAAGAAAGAGACTCTGGCCAGGGGAAGGGTTTATTGTTTGCTCTTCTCACTGAGCGGCATTAGTGACTCTTTCCATCCATTAAAGGACCATCCACGAGGAGTTTGTGGTTCTCTAAATGATGCAGAAGTCAAAGGAAGGAGGGGGAGCTCTCTTCACAGAGACCTAGTCTTTACATGAAGGGACAGGCCTCCGTGGGCCCATTTGTGACACCCCAATTTCCCTTATCCTGAGGCAGCTGCTGAGGCCCCTTGTCTGATGCTTCCCCTCTGGGTCCCTAAGTCCCTTGACCAAGGTGAGAGGACCCTTGGTGGCTCACTGCCACCAACTGGTGGGGGCTGGGGTAAACTGGGCTGCTATAGGCCGGCTACATGGGTGAGTCTGGCAGTAGATGCCCATCTCAGCCCAGCCCCCAAGCCACCCCCAGTGGGTCCATCTCATCCTCAGTTTCTGCCTTGCTTCCCTGTCTGCTCCCACTGGGACAGGGTCCATGCTTTCGAGATGGGTCATTTTGGTAGTGACCTGCTACCCTATGTCCTGAGCTTGTTCTTTTTCTTTAAATATTTAAAATTTTTTAAAAATGAAAAACATCCAGGAAGTACAGGCAACATATATGTTTTAAATACATGGAAGAGAATCTTATGTGACCACTACCCATGTCAAAAATAAATCCGTGTCAGTACCCTAGAAGTGCCCCCTCCCCCTCCACTCTCCTGGTCACATCCTTCCCTCACCCCTCCAGGATAACCACTGTCCTGACTTTCATGGTGATTGCTTCCTCGCTTTTCCTAACAGTTCTCCATCAGCACATGCACCCTTAAACAACAGATATTAATTTTGCCTCTTTTTATACTTCATATAAATGGGATCATACTACATGTATTCTTTTGTGATTTGCTTTTTTAAAAAAACTCAATTATGTTTCTAGGATTCATCTATATTATTGCATGAGCTCTGCATTTTTTAACAGTCTCATTGAGGTCTAACTATAATTAGCCAACAATAATGCTATAATTCTATAGTTTTGCAAGAATAGATGCTTCTCAATTTGTCGTCTACCTTGGGTAGATTTTTAGTGCCTCGAAATGGTTGTTTTGATCATTTTGTCCAGCTTTATTCTTGATTTTCTGCAGAGAATAGTCCCTGACTTCTTCGTGCTGCAGGAACTCCCCTGACTTCTCAGTTCAGGCTGTACTGTCGTGTGGTAATCCATGATGTAAATATACTCCGATTTGCTTAGCTGGTCTACAGGACACACACTCCAGTGCAGGCTATCATGGGCATTTCTTGGACTAGTCTCCTGGTACATGGACATGCATAACCATGAGTGGAATTGCTGGGTCACAGGTGCACCAGCTTCCTACTACTGCTGTGACAATGCAAATTTATTATCTCACAGTTCTAGAGGTCAACAGTCCAAAGTCGTTCTCACCAGACTAAAATCGAGGTGCTGGCCTGGCTGCACGCCTTCTGGAGGCTCTAGCACAGAATTCCTTCTCTTGCTTTCCGCAGCTCCTGCGGCTGCCTGCGTTCTTTGCTCCCAGCCCTCTTTCACCTTCAAAGCCAGCACTGGCTGGTGAGCCTTTCTCACGCTATGTCACCCTGCCACTCTCATCTCCCTCTTCCACTTGTAAAGACCCTTGTGATTACGCTATCACTACATGATAATCCAGGATAATCTATCTCAAGATCCTTAATTTAACCACACCTGCAAAGTCCCTTTTCCCATGTAAGGTAACATGTGTACAGGTCCTGCGAATTAGGATGTAGACATTTGGGGGAGGGATGGTTGTATCAAATTATGTTCACACCAGTAGTCCTGCAAAGTCCCTTTTCCCATGTAAGGTAACATGTGTACAGGTCCTGAGAATTAGGATGTAGACATTTGGGGGAGGGATGGTTGTATCAAATTATGTTCACACCAGTAGTTTCTGTTGCTCCACATCCTTGCTAACACTTGCTTATTATCAGAGTTTTAATATTTGCCACTGTTGGCTTCTGTAAACTATCTCCTAGAGGAATGGGGAAGGGGAGCTGAACACTTTCCATATTACCAGCCACTGACCAAATCCTTCCTCAAGTGAATTGGTCACCTGGAACTAAGCTGCCGTCACCTGCCTGCTTTTCCAACATTGCTTGCCGTAATCTGATCCTGGCTATTAGACTCCTTATATTTTAGATATTCCACCAGCCAGCTCGCTGTCTACAGACTCCAATCTTGCCTAGCACTAGGTTTCTTCTGAGTCCCCACCTGCCTGTTATGCTGGGGTCTTATCCATATTTGATGATGAGTCTACTGGAATGGTGATAACAGGGTAGGCAGGAGCATTTGAAGATATGTGGTGTGTTGTCCTGGAAAAAAAGCCACCATCTTCATGCCAATATTTCAACTGATGCATACATAGGTCATGAACTTGATGCTAACCCTTGGCTCAAACTAGTTGGGATACTAAAAGGTTATGAAGCCTGGAGAGCAAAAGTCATCTGAGATGCAAACCCAAAGTTTCCAGGGAATGTCAAGGTACAACAGAGCTTTGGGTGTCAAGCCACATGGCAGAGAATGCATTTTCCTAACCTTAAAAACATTTTGCCATGAAAAATACCTCCACCACAGCCTATTTGATTTTGAAAAACCCTCAGAGAATTACCCATATTGTCACCTTTTGTAAAGTCTGCAGCATTTACTACTGAATCTCACTTTCCAGGCAGAAGCACAGAAAACAGAAGGAAGGCTGGGATACACTTCTCACAAAGTACAAGTTCCCAGAATACCATTTCAATTCTCCTTTATGCACTGGAAATTTTCAGCACGGGCGTGATGCCCAGTGTAACAACAAAATAAAACAGATGTGTTTTTCCATTCACATTGGTCAGGAAGTTTCGTATTAAGCAGCTCAATAATTGCACAAGAACTGTCATCTATATGCTTCTCTATAGATTGATTGATATTGGGAAAATGATCCATCCTGAGGGAAATAAATGCCTGAAAAGTAAAAAATCAGAAGTACTTCCAGTCTGTAACCAGGAAGTTTCATATGAAGCAGTTCAAGAAAATGGAAGTAGAAGCAATGGCCAGAACTCTCCCATGGTCTTTCTCCTACCCAGGGGCAGCTGCTCATCATCTGACCACAGGGCGCTGAGTCCATTCCCGATGGCAGTAGGATGGCTAGAGTGGCCTTGCCAGGGAGAGAGCCCCAGGGGACACCAGCCTGCTAGAGGTCCTACCCTAGAGGTGACCAGGGGCTTAGGACAATGTGGTAATAAATGAGAATAAGGATTGGCCTTTGTTGGCTAGACCTGTTAGTTACTGAGGTTTGGAATGAGTCATGAGACAGGGTCCGCATTCCCCAGGTGGGACTTTTGCTCAGGCTGTCCTTCTGTCTGGGATGCTCTCCCCTCCATCCTAATCTCCACACACCAACACCTTACATGATCCTTATGGTTCAGCCCAACTGTCACCATCTCCCTCAAACTGTTCCTCACCCCAGACACAGGTGTTGTCACCTCAATCTTCATGGCCTCTTAATTTTACTTCTACAATTGCAGTTATCATGACTGTTGTATTTTAGTGACTAGGGACATCTTTTCTCTTCCCTGGTTGACTGCAAGTGCCCTGAGGCCAGGATGGTTTCACCTGTCTTGGTATATCATGATCTACAGGGTCTCAGGGTCATTAGACCAGTGTGTGACCCCCTGTGTGTGGAGGTTTGGGTGGAGGAGCTCAGTGCAGAGGCAGCAGTGGGGCATGAAAGTACATGATCCCCACTTGTCCCCATGCCTTTCAACGACTAGGAAAGTGCAAGCAAAAGGGCCCATGAATGGCATTCTCAGTGTCCCAATTCCACAAAAGCAGAAATTAGTGGCAACAACGTCAATGCAACAGCACTGGTAAATGGGAATAGTTCAGTCGGTAAGTGGCAGCCGTGCCTCCTGTGCTCACAAGTGCACACACACTGGCTCTGAGCACTAGCATGTGAGGGCTGCTGGAGCATTTTGCTCCCTAGTCTTATATTTACAACCCACAAATCAAGCCTCATCAAGCCCTGACCTCAGGCACAGGCGGAGCAGCTGGAGCTCCCCAGGTGTCAGGACCGGTGAGACAATTAAGCTCAGCGCAGAGCTGTCTGTGCTGCACCTTCACACCGCCTGGTGGGACATAGCTCTTTGGCAGGTTAGATGCCTTCAGGAATAGAGGAACCTGGAAATTGGGCACAGGGCAGGTCCTGCAGGAGCTCCTCTGCTCAGACCCTGGTCCCTGTGATCTCCTGCATGGGATTTCAAATTCTTTTCCTTCCACCTGGCTGTGTGCTTTGCAGCTCACAAAGGGTCTCCAGGACTGAGCAGCTGCACCCAGTCCCACCTTCCCTGGCAAACAGCAAAAACAGTTATAGAAAAGAAAACTCTTCCCTCTGCTACAAAATCTGAGCCTTTCCCTGTGCCCCGAACACTCGTGTACAGGGAGAAAGTCTCACTCTGTTGTCACAAACCTAGAGATAAGCAAAGTACCTTCTGGTCGTGGTTTTGGCTTTTCCAATCCTCCGTCTTGCATGAGCTCAAAGGCAAAGGAGACGTTCAAGACCTGGCAAGAGAGACGCAGTGCATATGTCATTGCACACTCATTCCTAGACCCCTGGGGGCCCCGGGACCTGCCCCTGGAAAGTGAAGGAGCACCATGGCTACCATGATGGGCAGGCCATGTGGAGGATGGGCTTGCCGATCCCAGCCTACTGTTGGAGGAGTGATTCTGGGGAATTCAAAGTCCTCTTCCTGTCACACCATGTTTCTGTGCCAACTGCCAGGACTTCAAACACGGGGACGTCAGTGCACACATTTGTGAGGCTCAGATGGCAAGGCATGTCCAAGAGGCAGAGAGGGTTTCTGCTCTGGACCAAATGCCTCTGGGATAGGAAGCAGGATGAGGGCAGCCTAAGAGGGGCCACCAGAACATGGCTGGGTGTGGGCTTCAGGTCTGACCAGCCTCATAGCACCTTCCCCGTCACCTCTGGGGAGAGATGAGAGTGGGCTGTGGCAGTGGCAGAAGCACATGACTAGGGACCAGAGCCAGGCTGCAAGGGAAGGAAAGGACTGTTTAGGACACTCAAGTGATCTGCAGGTAGCTCCTTCCCAGCTCAGCTGCTCATCAGAAGGGCCCCCCTGCCAACCACTGAAGACCCTGAGCAGAGGGGAGGCCTCTGCCTTTTTCCTGGATTATCCCCAGTGCAGGTGTGGGCAGATGAGTCAGGTGATGTGGGCTAGGGCATCTCTTGATGTCCTTTCCCCTTACCTTCTGTTCAAAGCTGTCTGGGGTCAGGAAGAAGCTGTGCAGGGGCACAAAGTATCCCTCCAGGAGCCCCATGAGCAGCACCAGGTACACTCCATCTGCGAACTGGAGAGAGACAGCCAGGTGAAGCCACTGGCCCCTGAACCTCCTAGCCAAGCCCCATCCAGGGGCCTCATCAGCATCTATGTCATCCCACCCACAGGCTGCCTCCCAAGGCCCTGGTGGTGGTGAGCGGCAGTGGCCCGAGGCGGCAGGTCTGCTTTGCAGCAGGCCTTCTCCAGTCTGGCTGGCCCAACACAGCAGCCACACAGTCCACATCTCAGTTGATCCAGCATTTATTGAGCATAGACTGTGCACCAACTCCTGATCTGGGCGTGAGGGACCAGAGTTGGGCCAGCCGAGGCTCCTGTCCTTGAGGAGCTCACAGTCACGTGGGGAGACTGATGTGGAGGCAGCACAACAGCCGCTCTGAGTCAGATTGAGAAAGGTCACCCACTCCTGGCAGGCACCCGAGAAGTCTTCTGGAGGGTCTGAGGGATGAGCAGGAGTTAGCTAGGGCGGGGCGGAGGGAGGAGGGAAAGCTGAGGTCCAAGGCGAGTGGCATCAAGCCACTGGGGTAAGTTGTGCTTTTTAGGCAGAGAAAAAACTCCAGCAGCAGACAGTCCTGTGCATTCTCCTTTCTCACATCTCACTTTGTTATTGCTTGAGAGGCAGCAAGGTGTAGCTGTAACGAATATGGGTTCTGCAGCCAGGCCTCCTGGGTCCAAATCCCAGCTCTGGTGCTTACTGACTGTGTGACTTGGGCAAGCTACATAACTTCTCTGTGCCTCATTTTCCTCATCTATAAAATGCAGATGATAACAGCATATATATATATAGTATCAACTTCATAGGGTTATCATGAGGACTAAACTAGTTAATATGTGTAAAGTGCCTCTAAACCGCCTGGCATATAGTCAGCACTTAATAAATATTAATTATTGCTGTTACTGTCTGGGAAAACAACAAAGCAATCAGGACATGCCTTACTGGCTCTTGTTGGCAAGGCAGAACTATGTCCTGCAGGCCATGGCCAGAGGCTTAGAGTCTGGTCCTAGACAGTTGAAGCCAGACGGGTTGGGGAACCTGGCCCAAGGGACAAGACACTCCTAGGCTAAGTGCAGAGGCTGCAGGTCTCTTGCTCAAGGGAGGGTGAGATGAGCCTGCGCTGGGCAATCAGGGCAGGCCTGTGGAGGCAGTGGGGGGCTTGGGATGAGTGGGATTTGGAAGTAAGTGTTCCAGGTATAGAGCATGGCCTTAGCACAGTCCATTCATAGGGGTCAGATGCATATCTGATATTCTAGAACACTTTCAAAGGAGGCTGGGCCACCAAATGTTTGTGGGCATAAACAACAGTTGCTGGAGTTTGCAAAAGGCCAGATTTCTTGGAATCACCTTGGAGAACTTAAAAGAACTAGACTGAATTGCCTGGACTGTGGGCTGGGCCCAGAGTCTGTGCTCAGAGAGCTTTGCTGGGCATAAGCTCAGCCTTCCTAAAGGGCATAAGACCTCGAGCATGGGCTTGACCTAGGGGCAGTTTCTCCCTGCTTCCATCCATTGGCCTTCAACTTGGGTGAGTAGGGCCTGAGCATGACTCATCCCATGCCACCAGGGGTGGACAAGAGAGAGCAGACCCCAGAATCTGTGTCAAAATCAAGGCCCTCCTGGTGGCAGCTGGGCCTCATCCTGGCTGTGTCTGGAATGAGTTGAGAATAAAAGAATCTAATCTGTGAACTCGGGGGGACCTGGGTTAGGGGTACTTAGAGCTCTGAGTGCCAGACTGCTCCCCACCACTGCTGGCTGGTTCTGCCGACTTGGTGGGAATAGAGGGTACAACCCACAGACACCCAAAGTGCTGGGCGCTGACTCCCTTTCATAGCGCTCCTTGCCCTTGGAAACTGAAGTGAAACTCCAAGCCCATTCTAGCCCACTGGAGGAAATATCACTTTTCCAGAGCATTCCTTATTTCCCAAAAGAGTATATGAAGTTCATTCCACAGAGTCTAGACACACTCAGGTAGAGCTCAGAAACAGATCGGGCAATTGCCTTTAAAAATAATGGGAGGGGCCGGCCCCGTGGCTCACTCGGGAGAGTGTGGCGCTGGTAGCGCTGAGGCCGCGGTTTGGATCCTATATAGGGATGGCTGGTGCACTCACTGGCTGAGCGTGGTGTGGGCCACACCGTGCCGAGGGTTGCGATCCCCTTACCGGTCAGGAAAAAAAAAAAAGGGAGGTGCCCACATGCTTGAAAGAAAACCACACTGCAGAAATTCACCAAGAACGAAAGGATGTTGGGAAACAGGATACACTGCCTAGTCTCTAAGTATCTCCCTGATAAAGATTAGTTTTTAAGTATAAAGGGAAGAAAAAGAACTTTACAGTAGGGATGTCTGGTTTAGGAAACCACTTTAACCAAGTGGTCCAAGTTGTCACCAGGAATGGGGCTAATAGACACAAGTGCCTCCTGATGGGACATGCTGGGAAGAACCCCGTGCTACTCAGGGGGAAATGCACAACCCAAATCTAATCACGAGGGGGAAAAATTGAGGGACATTCTATAAACCTACTGGCCTGCACTCTTCAAAAATGTCAGTGTCATGCCAAGAAAGGCCAAGGGGTTCTATATTAAAAAGAGACTAAGCAGACCCAACAAGTAAATGCAGCATGCGGGGATATTGGGAAAACCGGCAAAATCTGACTATAGTGTGTTTTTCCCAACAATATGACATCACCATTTTAGTGGGTCAGACACAGTCAAAAATCAGCAATTTCAAATGATTCAAGCTAAATAGATCCATGTATCAATGTTAACCTCGCCTGCATCTGATAATCATACTGTAGTTATCTAAGAAAATGTATTTGTTCCTAAGAGACGTAGGCTGAAGTATTGAGGGGTGAAGAGAGGGTGAGAGAGAGAAAAAAAATGTTAACAATTGGTGTATCTAGGTGAAGAGCATATGGGTATTCATTTTTGCAATTTTTCAGAATAAAAAGTTGGAAAAAATCTGCAAAGAAATTCCATCCAGTTCATCCCATCTGAGTGGAATAGATTCCCATGCCCTCACCCCCTGGGTCCGTGGGGAAAGCCCTCCTGGCGAGGTGGGGTGTGGCAGTCGGAATGGTGGCCATCCCCCCACCTGGGGCTCAGGGCTGTTACCCACCTGGGTTTCTAGTTCTGTGACCTCCAGGTTCAGTTTATTCAAATGCTTGTTCACAAAAGTGATGAGTGTCTAAAAGAGAAGCACAAGCGGGCACTGAGAAGGTGACCCACCAGTGCCAGACCCTGTGACTGCCCCGTGAGGACAAGGATTGGGGTGAAAACACCACGAGCGCGGGCCTGGGATCACTGGTCCGGCTAAGTGAGGACGAGCAGCCCCGTGCTCTTCCTGCAGAGGGCCTGAGTCCGCAGGGAGAGCCACAGGCTCTGGGCCTTGGAGGACTGGGAAAGGAACAGGGAGGTCCTGAGAGGCAGAATGGTAGGGGGGTGTCTGAGCCCAGGGTTGTGGGGGCCGAAAGGAAAGGAAATCAGGAAGAGGGCCAGAGATGAAATGGCCCAACTAGGTTCAGCCTTCCAGTCCCTTCTTCGGTGCATCTGCCTGAGCGCAGGGAAGGCGAGGGTCAGTGGGGATGGAAAGACAGGGACCAGATGAGGCATCCAGTGAGGAAGATGGGTAGAAGATGTCTCTGTGTTTGCAGAGAGCCAGTGAGGACCCCGGTGTCGGCAGGGAGCTTGCAAGCTGCAGGTGGGCACCTGGCGCTTGGCTGCACCCGCTCCTTGCCTCCCTCCCAGCAGCCCTTGCCCACCTTTTTCACCACGTTGAGTTTGTCTGGTGCGTGGTCGAACAAGGTGTCGAAGGCGTCACGTTCTGAAAAAGAAAAATGTAACGTGGAGCACAAGAGCTGATTCCTGGCGGGGAAGCCCACCCCGAACTCCACAGCCACGAACTTTTAAAGGCCGCATGGGCAGCTACCGACGGGAATACTTTGGGGCACAGACTGTGCTGGGAACTCTGGAACCGGGGCTGGGTTTGGGTTGGCTCTCACCCTAGGGGCAGTTGCGTGCGTGTGTGTGTGTGTGTTGGTATGTGTCTGTATGTCCATGCATGTGTACACCTGTTACTCCTTTATTGGACTGGAGAGGGGATGGGGCTCTGTTGGGTGATTTGGATTAGTCATTTCATCTGGATTAGAGA